CCCCAAAAAACCATTGGTTTTCCGAATAAATATCAATATTATCAATCCTTTTGGATGATTTTGGAGTCTGCCATTTTAAAGAATCCTTTTTTTTTTGGGGGGGGATTGACATTTTTTTGCGCAGTTCTCACTTTGTGTTTTTTTTTCTCATCCCATCCCACGATTTTTCCATTGCCCCTTTTTTTTCGGGCCAAAATGATGAATGACCCAAGACATGGCACAGGTTCGGGCTTCGGGGAGGCATTTGACCATATTTGACCTAGGGTTTTGGGATGATTTTCAAGTTTTGGGTAAGAAGCTGCCAGAGCTTTGGAAGCTGGTTCCGTTGGTATGTTGATGTGGAAAAGCCATGGGGAAACTCCAGGAAAATGATCCAGATTTTTTCCTCAATGAGGGACCATCAATCAAGATCATGTGTCATCATTGGCTTACATCCTCATATATCATCTATCTATCTATCTATCTATCTGATGATCTAATCTGATCTAATCTGATCTAATCTGATCTAATCTGATCTAATCTGATCTAATCTGATCTAATCTGATCTAATCTGATCTAATCTGATCTAATCTGATCTCATCTGATCTAATCTGATCTAATCTGATCTCATCTGATCTAATCTGATCTCATCTGATCTCATCTGATCTAATCTGATCTCATCTGATCTAATCTGATCTAATCTGATCTCATCTGATCTAATCTGATCTAATCTGATCTAATCTGATCTCATCTGATCTAATCTGATCTCATCTGATCTAATCTGATCTAATCTGATCTCATCTGATCTAATCTGATCTAATCTGATCTCATCTGATCTAATCTGATCTAATCTGATCTAATCTGATCTCATCTGATCTAATCTGATCTAATCTGATCTAATCTGATCTAATCTGATCTCATCTGATCTAATCTGATCTCATCTGATCTCATCTGATCTAATCTGATCTCATCTGATCTAATCTGATCTAATCTGATCTCATCTGATCTAATCTGATCTAATCTGATCTAATCTGATCTCATCTGATCTAATCTGATCTCATCTGATCTAATCTGATCTAATCTGATCTCATCTGATCTAATCTGATCTAATCTGATCTCATCTGATCTAATCTGATCTAATCTGATCTAATCTGATCTCATCTGATCTAATCTGATCTAATCTGATCTCATCTGATCTAATCTGATCTAATCTGATCTAATCTGATCTCATCTGATCTAATCTGATCTCATCTGATCTCATCTGATCTAATCTGATCTCATCTGATCTAATCTGATCTAATCTGATCTCATCTGATCTAATCTGATCTAATCTGATCTAATCTGATCTCATCTGATCATCTGATCTAATCTGATCTAATCTGATCATCTGATCTCATCTGATCTAATCTGATCTAATCTGATCTAATCTGATCTCATCTGATCTAATCTGATCTCATCTGAATCTGATCTCATCTGATCTAATCTGATCTCATCTGATCTAATCTGATCTCATCTGATCTAATCTGATCTAATCTGATCTCATCTGATCTAATCTGATCTCATCTGATCTAATCTGATCTCATCTGATCTAATCTGATCTCATCTGATCTAATCTGATCTAATCTGATCTCATCTGATCTAATCTGATCTCATCTGATCTCATCTGATCTAATCTGATCTAATCTGATCTAATCTGATCTAATCTGATCTAATCTGATCTAATCTGATCTAATCTGATCTAATCTGATCTAATCTGATCTAATCTGATCTAATCCGATCTAATCTGATCTAATCCTATCTAATCCTATCTAATCCTATCTAATCCTATCTGTCTGTCTGTCTATCTATCTATTTATCTATCTCCAACAAAAATCTCCAAGAGATTTCCGAGCCTTTTCCACGGTCACCTTTTGAAAACGCCACCAGGGAACGCAAGGCTCGCATGGAGAAGATGTCGCAGTCGGTCTTGGCCACGGGAAGCGAAGACATGGTCACGCCTTTCCTCAGCTGGCGCCTCTATGTGGCACAGCAGCGCCTGGTTAGGGCTAAGGAGAAGTGTAGTGAGGCTGCGCCATGGGCACGATGGAAAAAACATGGTGGTTTTTGAAGCCCCAGAAATGCTGGAGTTACCCCAATTTGTGGCAATTTTGATGGTTTTTTTGGATGCTCAGAATTGGATTTGAAGCGACAGGTGGACCGACAAGCCTCGGTGTTGGCCAACAAGATCACTGAGGTGAGACGCAAAAAAGGGGCCAACGTGGGGTGAGGCAACGTTACCCTCCGGTAATCAACAGGGTTTAACCATGGTGTAACCATGGTATAACAATGGTATAACAATGGTACAACAGTCATTAATGATATACGTATATATATATATAATATATATATATAATATATATATAATATATATATATATAAGAATGGTATAAGAATGGTATCATGGATGTGTAACCATCAACAAAAACGGGGATTATTTGGGATCATGGGGAGTAATCCATCGAATTTTTCGATGATTTTCCCAGCTGAAAAAACCTCCATTTATGGCAGGGGATTTTCCTGCACGACTTAGATGTGGCTGGAAAACTTGAAACCATAGCATGATGAACATGATGGAAGATCAAGATTCCGACACTCCAGCAAACTCCAGCATCATCAATTCAATCAATTCATTTTCATAAGTCTGCTAAGTCTGTTGATTGGACGTCAAGACAGGTGGAAATGGAGAACCAAGAGCAGCAACGCATTTTGGAAGAATCTTTGGCAGCTGGAGCCGAGCTCAAGGAGAAATGCATGGTGGAGCAGCAGGAACTTTCCAGGCTGAAGCAGATTTGGTCTGACACGCAGCCTGAATTGTTTCCTGGATTTGCGCCGAAGCGCATGGATACACGAAGAAGTAGTTGATGATGGCCAGTTCTTGCGCTGGTGTCCATTTGTGTAGGGATTTTCAACTTTTTATTTGTTTCCTTCTCATACTCCCAATCTGTCGATAGTCCCAGCATCAATGGATTGGTTTTTCAGATAAAATCTGCCGGGATTTTGGGAACATGCTTTCATACAGCCGCATGCAGCAGTTGGAGTCCGGATTGTTTTGCTGAAACTCCGTGCCCGACACATAGATGGTTAATAAAAGTCGGCCCGGATGAGTGGTTTACCTTAGAGATCCCATGATATTCCCATGATTCCCATAGGGGGATGATAAATCCATGTAAATCCCAAGGTGGCATGGGAACTATCTCATAGCAACTGAGGCTTTTGCAGGTCTTGGCTCAGAGCCTGGAGCTGTTCTTTTCGCTCGTGGTACGGCAAGCGGGGCTTCATCACTTGGAGGCCATGAGAGCGCTGGGTCGCTGGGTCGGTGAGTCGGTGCTTGGGAAAATGATGAAGTCACCAGCACAGGATGGAGAGTATTCATCGTTTTTCGGGGAATTGGTGCTTTACGCCATCGAAAAATGATGACGCATAATTTGTCAGTGCATGTGAGATAACTGATCCATTGGGAGATGCTCCAGCACCTAACATGTCAGGTTTTTTCGGTGCAGGGTCCACTTGACCCAAGATCTCCCGTTCTGAACGGGGCCCGTGAACCTCCCAATCCCGCCCTGGGTATCCTGGGTGCCCGTGATATCTCAGCCTGGGTCGAAAGCAATCACCCACAAAAATGGATGGCGAAGACAAAAGCCACCCCGTTGGTACCTGATTCATGCTCGGCATGCCGATGGATACCCCGAAACGAACATCATTTTGCAAGGGAAGCATGGTTTTTCCATCTCCATGTCAGTTTCGCTCAGGGTAAAGACACATGATTTTTTCATCCCATTCCCACAATGAAAGTAGACCATTTTCTTTTTTTAAAGATCAGATTACAGGGGACCACATGGTTTTTCCGTTTTTAAGTCTCGTTTGGCATGCTTATTGCATGCTTACTTCGGCAAAGTTCTCCTTTTCGCATGCTTCGGAGGTCAAACATCGCCTGGCGAAGAAAGACATCCGGCCGCTTCTGGACGATCCCAGCGCAGAGGCAGAGGCAGAGATGGTCCTGATCAGGCGCCGCTGCTGAGATTTTGGCCACGGCTGGGGGGAGAAAAAACGCCCCGAAAAAATGGGGGATTACACCAACCAAGAGTCATGGTACATACATGGAGTATAGAAATAAATGCTTGTATAATATTGTATAACTGTAGTAACGCCCAAAAAACATCCAGAACGATATAGCTAAGATTAACAAAAAATTGGATTTACCCCAATATCAAAGATGATATGTATATATATATGTATGTATGTATGGGGATATAATGGGAGACACAAGCAATAGTATGATATGGGATTGTGTACCTTGTCAACTGAATCCCCTTTGTTGTTCCAAGTGTGCGGGGCCCAAAAATTGTGAAACATCGCTCGGCAGTGAGATTCAAATTCAGGCAACTCCTCTAGTTGGCGGTACCTTTGGGATTGTCTGGTGAAACAAGTATCCCTGAAGTATCCTCAAATTCAGAGTTTAGGTGATTCTGGTTTCCATTGGGTTTCTCTAAAAAAATAGTGCGCCAAATGTGCTCGTTTCAGGTTGGTGAGCTACTACTCTTGCTGTTACCCTCCGGTAATTTCACATAGCTATGCAAAGGAAGCATTTTTGACAAAGGAGTCATCGAACTAAGTAGCTATCTATAACATTACAACATATAGCAAACTGTTAGATTATTTGTATATTATATGATATAATTTATATCCCACCATATCCCCGTTTATAGATGGTTTTGAAATTAAAACTCCAATTGAGTTCATGGATTTCCCCATGGTTTTCCCTTGCAGTTAATCCCTGAAATCCAGCTGTGTTTTCTCCCCAGGTGGATCAACGTTGCGGTGACGAAAGCCCGTGGCCATTGCGAAGAGTTGTTGGAGGACATGTCAAAGGCGAGGTGTGAGGGACTTCTGGAGTTTGTTCATCGTTGATTTTTTATGAAAACCTGCGATTCTCAGCCAGCATGTTTTGATGCCTAAATTCATTTGGGTATGGGTCAATACCTATAGATACATTTTTAGGTGGATGAACATCCATAAATCCCAGCTATTTTGATGTGAACAGAAGGGGTACTATTGGTTTTGACACACTGCCATTTCAATGACAGAAAAATTGCTCCTTCCCACGGCCGAAAAAGGGTTGTGAGATCCGAATTCCCGGATCTAAAAACACTTTCCGTGCAGGAAGAGAATCAAGATGCGCTGATTCTGGTGGCCCGACAGGAGGCTGGTGAGCCATGTGGGATAGCGCTGAAACCAACCAGTACAATGGGATGTAAGGGTATTTTTGATATTTTTTGATGTGATATTCCAAAAAACTGGTCTTTCTCAGACCAAGTTCCCATTGCCGGAAGATCTCCAGGATCCCCCTTTGGAGCTTGGATTTCCCTGGATTCTTGCTGGTCAGTGCCCGATTTTGGATGGTTATCCCATGTTATCCCATGTTATCCCCTAGACTCCTGAAAGAAATCATTCAATGAATATATGGATTTTTCCTTCAACCTACAGATTGATACTGGGATTTGTCCTGTAGTATATCAACATCGATTATGGATAATCCACTATTTGGAGATCATGTTCCAATGGCAAATCCAAGCCAGGACAGAACTATATGACTATATCTCTGTTGGTTAATGCCCATTAAATCCAATGTCCTTTATGAAAGTAGGTCAAAGTTCTTACTGGGATGTGCATCCCGCTTAGAAACTGGATATCGGATAACCCATATATCACTTAGAAACTGGATGACCCATATATCACTTGGGATCACTTGGGATATCCCGTAAAGAAGCGGCGCCTTTACCATGGTCCGCACACCCACTGACATGATGCCCGCACACCCAGTTCCCCCCATCTAACTAGTCCGATATATATATATATATACATATCCACCACAAATCCAGCAGGTAGCCTGGTTACACCCCCCCAATTTAACATGGAACCCAACAAATGGCAATCTCCAGTACAGTAAAATGATCTTCCAAAAACCGCAAAATTGGGGTGAAACATGCTCAATCTCGGGGTGTAGAAGCCAACTTTCCTATCCTCAACTGATTACTTTAGGCCTTTAGGCGACACAGATGTGGGTTTCACCAGGGGTTTCACCCACATCCATGGTGCCTTTTCCAGATCCATCGCCTTCAGGAGATCCAAAATTTGGATGCTGACTTGTCGGATTGTGTGGCTCTCAGTGCCCTCTATGCCATGATCAAGGTGCGGAAATTTGGGAAGGATTTCCCGCCCCTGTTGGCATGGGGGAAAAACGGTCAGAACATGAGGAAACACCAACCGGAAGACATGGGAAAACCCATCCAAAAACATCCTGGAATGGAGCCCTGGGAGCCCTGGGAGCCCTGGGAGGCGGAACGAGAACAGAAAGGCTTTTCGGTGAAGGAGCACTTAAGCGCCGCTTGCGTTTTCGGTGTTTCCAAAAGGGATGGATCATGGGATAAACATACAGATTTATTGGGTGGATCATGGGATTACCCAACAGACACATTTTTTGATATGATGGATATACAAGCAACATCATGAACCAATGAAACAGAAATCTCTCAGACGAAATATATATAGGGATCAACGATTGGGCACCCTCAGAGTGAACAACGGAGGACTGATATTTTACCCTCTGGTAATTTGACATAGCTATTGAAAATGACCATTATTATATAGTGGATTTACCCATTAAAAATGGTGATTTTCCATAGTTATGTTAGTTTACCAGAGGGTATTTGAAGTCTCCAAACTAAAACACTATCACCCAAATAGGTTCAACGGCCTCAAATTTGGATAGATACCTGCACTTCTGATGCTGCTGTGCCAAGATATCAATATATCAAGCAACCCCAAAAAAAGATCAGCAGCGTCATGTACAACGATTTTCAGCCAGTACTAAAAACCTCTATTTTAGGATTTTTGTGTTTACCAACTTCGCCCTGAGTTCTCCTCCATTTAGTTCGAGGATTTTGCACTCCAGGACTTGATCGCCCTGAGTGAAGTGGACCTGGAGTTGCGATCCGTACAGCTCTGCTATTGTCTCTTGGAGATTTCGCCCTCTGAGAGGTGCGGCTGCGGACGCTGAGTCCTGCGTGTCATGGTGAAATGGTGGATGACCCGGGGCACATGAACTAGATTTAAATAAATATAGTACAGTATATATATATATACATTATATATATATATGGATAATATATATATATGGATAATATATATATATGGATAATATACATATATGGATAATATATATATATATATGGATAATATATATATATGGGGACTTGGCAATGTAAATCATAATTGTTGGGATTTCCTGGGAATGGCCACTTTGCTAGCTGGGATGCCCATCGTGCCACAGCCATCCGCCGCAGGGCAAAGTGCTTGCTGGTCCCGCACGAAATTGGTCAAGGCGAGACATTTCATCAGCCCCTGTCGCACTCCCAATCTTCATTGGCCAAACTCCACATGTTTTCTGGGTACAACTTCCCCTTGCTGCTTGAAGCTCTAAATCCGAAATCCCCATTTTTGGTTGGCTTCAACTCCCTATGTTGGTATATTTTGCTTCGTCGAAGTCCTGGTTTTCGGTTGGTCGAGTCATCTCCGGTAGGCGAAACGGAGAAGTTGCAGCTCTTTTTGGCGGCGGTTTTTGCGATGCATCCCATGCTTCAGGAGACCTGCCTTACACACTGAACCCGGGGCCCAAAGGTTGGTCTGGTTGAGGAGATATCGAGAAGGTGTTGCATGTACCAAGCCTTTAACAACCATAAATCAAGCAAATATATATATATAATTATGTATATATTCTTATATATTATATATGATTATATATTATATATATTATATATGATTATATATTATATATATGATTATATGTTATATATATATATTATATGATTATATATTATATATGATTATATATATATATATATATGATTATGATTATATATGATTATGATTACTGTATATATATAGTTATATATATATGATTATATATACTGTATGCAATTTGACCACTAACCATGAACCATCTAGGGCCGCTTCAAGAGCGTGGTTTTGAAGCAATTCCATGCATCGAGCACAGGACTTACCTGTGGCCATGAACAACCTACAGGTGGGAATAGTGCGAGAGATCCAGGAGGCCTATCCCTGGTAATTTGTTGCAGTTTTCTATGAAAAATGACTGAGTTGTCGAGGATATACCTCTTAAAAATGGTGATTTACCCGCAAAACTGTTAGATTATCAGAGAGTATTGAATTCTTGGGACTATAATTCGGACGCGCCAGAAGGCCTTTCACGTGTGGCTTGGAAAAACGTTGACACTTGGGATCTTCTCAGCACACGCCATGCAGGAAGGTAGACAATACTGCGTCCCCACTACCCAAAAAGCGGGGTGTAACATATTATAACCACAATGAATTCCCAGTCACCTTGAGTTATCGATACTCATTTCGTGGTCACCCATGACTTCTGCCCGGTGCATCTCCATTTCGGTCAAAAACTGAAGAAATGGTTGAAACTCGAAGGCTATGGAGTTGCAGAAAGTCTTGTACGACGTTTTGGACAAGATGGAGGAGTTGCGGTGTGGGACTGTCCTTTGTGGGATAATCACAAGAGAGCTGGCAATAGTTTTGAGAGCTCGAGATGCTCAGAAAAGGGTTGGATATACCATCCGTTATGGGCATTGAACATGGAGAAAACGATGATTATAACATATTATAAACCGCTTGATTTTGAGATGCTATATTTTTGCACAAAGCCAGTAGAGTATGGGTCAATCCATTGAGGTACGACTTGGACTCACAACTGCCCATGGAGAGGATCGCATGGCTGGAATTTTCCCCATTGAGTTCCATGATTTTCCATAATTAAACCATATATTTATATTACACTTGACTCACCTAAAAAGGTCCATTAAAAGTATATTCATAAAACTCTCCCATTTAGTAAGTGGTGGGATCTCAATGGGCCATGTGGCCGGTGATATGATCACTGGCAATATATTGCCAGTATAGCTTGTTAGATTCAATGTTCTCTCAACGTATAGCTGATCGGAATGGGCTACATTTTGGATAAATTCTCGACCAATATGTTAAGAAAATGTAAGCTATGAAAACCTCATATTTACGAACATTATGAGATATACATCTTGAGATCATAGTAGCGCAGCGACCACTGACCATTTTGGATCCTGTTGGCTGAGTGAATTCCTGTTGGATCCTGTTGGCATCTCTGTCCAATTGTGGGGAATGGGCAGGTTCTGTCCAGCAAAAACTCCGAAGTTTTGTCGCCCCCAAGTTGTAATGACCAGGTTTTAGCGGTGATCCTCACGTTGTCGTTGTCGTTGTTGTTGTTGTCGTTGTTGTTGTTGTTGCTGCTAAGCTAGCCGCAGCAAGCAATGTGGGATCCCTACAACGAAGCCCACTGTTGGGAAAGTTCCGTACTGGTCACGACTGGAGCATCACTGTCGGCGGCCCCCGACAGCCTTCACAATCCATGGTCAGTACTGGTTGTAAAACGCAAGGTCCACACTATTGGAGCTGGATAGTTTGATATTGATATGAGTCAAACGATCACTTCCTAAAATGGATGGTTTAAGTTTTCGAGGTCACCAGCCATGTAAGTTTCTAAAATGGTACCCCAATTTTCATCCCCCACTTGTAAACCCAGGCATAAACAGCCCCAAATCCCATCTTTTGGTTGAAAAACACACATCATATTCAAAAAAACAAGTCAATTCTCGTTTTGTTTTTTCTTTTCTAATTGTCATTGGCTTACCATGTTGACTCCAGAAATTACCCTCATGAAAATTAAATAGATGTGGAACACACCATTTGTAGATCCTTTCAACAGGAAAACAAAGTCTTCCATGTCTATGTTAATTTATCCCAGCTATGGAAAATGGTCGATACATGGATGATTTACCTACACTTACCTCTTAAACAATTTTGATTCTCCATAGCGATGTTAAGTAGCCAGAGGGTATGAACCAACATTACATTAGACACCCACTGTATCTGTATCCCATTGATGTCCCACTAATATCCCATCAAGATGAACCACATCACGTAGTTGCTAACTACTATTGACGTACACTACTAGTATAACCTCTACTACTTATTTATAAACATCCCATTAACATATACTGTATATATATATATATATCACCCATTGGCCCATTCGCTGACCCCACCTGCCATGGGCGAAAAGTGAGGACTTCGCGGGAAGTGCCAATAAGGATGCCTTGGAGGACTGGCCTTTTGAAGAGTTTTGGCCCAAGGGAAGCCATCCAGGCCATAGAAAGCAGCGTTTTGGACCATGGTGACCATACCCATGCAGTATCCTCCTTAAATCCCAGTAGGGGGCCTATTCTGAAGATCTGCTGACAAGGACCCAACTCCGTTGCTGCATGGAGGGGAAGAGACTCAGGTTCGATGTGGGTCTGCATCGAAAAATCATGGGGAGTGAGTGATCCATGTCTTTCCGACAGGGATGCACTGAATCACAATCCCCACCTGTCTTGATGTGAAAACAAAGCATGGTCTTCTGGCAAAGTCTTGCAAAACACAAAGCATATTTCTTTTTACCAATCTCAGAACTAACATGAGGTTTTTATTGGGTGCATAGGCATCAAAATGGGGGAAACACATCCAACGAAATCGGAGAATCGGGGACTTGTACGTGGTGAAAATAACCAAACGAGTTGCTTTCTGGGATGCCCAATGATATATATGGGTTATCAGCTGCTTGCGATTTCTGAAACTGCCCAAGTACATATGGCTATGGAAGATGGCCTATATTAGTAGATTTTCCTGTTGAAACTGGTGGTTTCGACAGCAAAATTGCGCCACATGACCAGATGGTATTAACCAGTATAGTATTCACTTGAGTCAAATTCCATTGATATTCCATTCATATTCCATTCAAGTGAATATCAATTGATACCCATCAATATAGGAATATTCCAAATATAAATGGGATATCCATATATGTATATATATATATATACATATACATATATATATATATTCCATTCATATTCAACCTATACCCTCTGGTAAACTGTCCCATAACTATGGAAAGATCCACTATTTTTAATGGGTAAATCAACGAACTAAATGGCCATGTTCCATAGCTATTTTGACATAACCAGAGGGTATCCCATTGATCTCCCATTCCCAGAGGGTTTTTTTCTCCAGGCCTTGGCCACCATCTCGGTTGAACAGATTCTGCTGCGGCGACTCGGCATGGATCAAGTCAGTGGTGAAGTAACATTTTATAATATATATATACATACATATATACATATATATATACATACATATATACATATATATATACATATATATATATACATATATTATATATGTACATATATATACATATATATATATACATATATATATATTGTAAGCCATATATTTCAGTTATGGGACATGAATGGACATGACCCGTGTATAACTGGGGCATCAGGGGAACCATCTTACTACAGGATGGGGCCCCAGTGGATAGCATTCAGTTGCCTTATAAGTGGCTGAATTCTATGGTTCATGATAGATATAACTATAGTCAATGTGGATTATAATGGTTTATAGACCAAGGTATAACTGGGGGGGCCCATCCTGTAAGGTTTTCTCTGAATCATTTTATCCAATATCATTGATGCTTGCACTCCGAAACGTTGGTTGCAGGTGGGTCAATGCACAGCTTGCTTTGGACAGTGCCACACATAGCAGGCTGGTGGAGTGCATCGGCCCGGAATTTTCACCATCAAACACGTTGCAGGGCAGTCTTTTTCATGCTTGGGACCTAGAGTTGGCAATGATTTTTGTCGGAATTTCAATGTGCCCCAAATTTGATGCCCAAAATCACTATTTTTCTATTGGAATTTTACATTTCAATTGAGGGCCCATGCGCGATTTCCGGACAAACCCCCAAAATGCGGGATATTTCCCATTACCAATGGATGGTATGCCCCATCCTTATTAGGATCCCATGAATTCACCATATTTCGAAAGAAGATTCATGTACCCTACTCTAACGGTTTTCCCGAAGGTGGTTGTCCATATCGATTTGTGAGTTTTCTGGAGGGTAGAAGAATAGCACGTTTTTTTCCATCACTTTTTGGTGATATCCTCCCCATTATATCCATTTTTTTTTGGGTAGCTTATTTTGGGTACGGGTCAAAATTGGGTACACCCCAATATTTTGATGGTTAGTACTACAAAAGGATGAAAGTTGCAGTCCCCTTGGTCCTAAATATGTTACCAATAGCCTTTCGGAATCATGGCCATGGCATCCTGGAAAATCCAGCATTTTGTTGAACGAGTTTCACCATGGAAAACTCTAGCTGGATTTCCCAGCTAGCTATGTTTGATGACACCATTTAGGGTACCCATTTTTGATGATCAATCATAATCCCCATGAAATCATCCCGTTTGTGCTGCGGGTTGGATCCTATTCACCATTAGGATCCCATCATATCAATGGGAATATTAGCGTTATTGCACCATTATGACGAAATTAGTACAGAAATACAAATAATCTCAGTATACCAATTGTATTAGTACTAGTATCGGCATTATACTAAGCATACCATTAGTACAATAATTGGGATTAGCAGTAATAGTTATACTCTTATTAGGCTAACCTATTTTTTGCATACCATTCTGGTCCCTGGAACAACTGATACATGACCCGTTTTTCGTCCCAGTTATTATCCCATTTGGTTCCCATCAATTCTTCTTCCAGATCCAATTATGAACAACCATTGTTGATGGTTAATCCTATGACAATCCCAGTTATGACAACCATCATATGTTCCATAACCCATAATTATATATACATTAACATTAATCCATATTGATATTAACATTAACATTTCATATAGACAATGGGTTAGGATAATATAGTGATGGTTAATGATACATGGTACATGACTTCATGACATTTAACCCATTTTTCCATCCCCAGTCAGACGTAGCCTCTGGTAATTTGTTGCTATGGAACATTACCCAGTCGAAATTTTGTGATCCTATGAAATCATAGCATTGTTATACCATTACTAGATGGTAAAAAATGCCATATTATACCATTAGTATGGCAATATAGCATCATATATATATACACACATATATATATATATATAAATATATACTATCATTATATCATACCATTGTTATATGGCAATATGACCCAGTTACTCCCAGCCAGGCCGGTGGAGAATTTCGGTTCAGACTTGCAGGACGTGACGCGAAGAATCCGATCAGTTTCATCATTTTTCAATTCTGGGATTGACATTGGCAAGAAATTGGTTGATGGGGTGATGATGAGTCACAGAAATCGGTTCATGTTTTGGATAGTTGATGGATATGCTAACAAATTGTAACTATCCCAACTCGGCCCAATGAACCCCGGGAAGGGCAAGGGAGGTGGAGATGAGAATGCACTGGGGAGTTCCCCATTTTTATGACGAACATCGCCATTTGTAGATGATGTACTCATGATGGACCTATGGGAAAATGCGGGAATTTTCCCCAAGGTTTGAAGATTGCAGGCTGGGCATAGTTGCTATTGGGTCTGCCAGAGTCTGTGAAACGATCTTCAGACTCTCCTTGGGAACTACAATCCTAAATAAACCATCATGAACCATTCATAAACCATTCATAAACCATCATAGACCATCACACATTTGGAAGATTTTGCCCCACATTTGGTCAAGATCAAACACCTTTGAGACCCTGAATAACTTGACCTGCATGGTCTGAAGGATGGTGTTGCACTGGCAAAGCTCCTTACAGTCATCGCGCCGGAGGCTCCTTGGGACTACCTATGTCGGAAAGCCAAGGGTAGTCCATGTGTGGTTTATTGTTTTGGGGGCTTGTATAAATATACATGAAAAATAGAAATCGGTCTTGTTCTTGTTTTTTTCTTTGCACAACCAGTCAAAGACATGCTGTTTACTATATGATAGAATGTTAAAGGTCTTTTGGAGCTGTATCGAGGTGGAGGAAGCATGTTAGTACATGCCCCACATAAGTAGCGCATATACTTCTAGCTTATATATATATATTATATAGAGAGTAATTGCCAAAAAGAATAGAAAAGCCAAATCCAATCCCAAATAGGGGTGAACTGTGGTTACCATGCACATCTATATCTGTACCTATATATCTATACTTATAAATCTATACCTACATATGTGAATATATATATATGTATATATGTATATATATATGTATGTATATATATGTATATATATATGTATACATATATATATATATGTATATATATATATGTCTATAGCTATATATATATATATCTATATCTATAATATCTGTGTATATCTCTCTCTACTCTATATCTAAATGTCAATATTTCTAGATTTTTCTATATATCTATATATCTATACATATATATCTATCTATACACATAATATCTACGTATCTCTCTCTCTCTCTGTCTCAATATCTTTATATCTTTATATCTATATATCTATATATCTATACATATATGTATATGTATATGTATACGTATATGTATGCGTATATGTATATGTATATGTATACGTATATGTATACGTATATGTATATGTATATGCATCTCTGTATCTAATCTATCTATCTATCTATCTTTCTATCTTTCTATCTATCTATCTATCCCTCTATACATATATTTATATATAAATCTAAATAGCTATATATATATATACATACATACATACACATATATATATACACACCTATATAGATACACACACATATATATATATACACCTATATACTTATACATATATACATATATACATATATACATATATACATAGATACATATATACATAGATACATATATACACATATACATATATATATACATATAAATATGTACATATACACATATATACTACATATATATATACATATATATATATACATATATATATATACACATATATACATACATATATATATATATATATACATATATATATATACATATATACATATAAACATATATACAAATATACATATATACACATATACTGTGAATTTCCCAACGAACCCAGTCGTTGTGTCATTACTCCCATGTGATGTGTTCTCATCAAAACCTCGTTGAATAAATTCCAACCTGGAATACATGTCCAAGCCAGCTGAAAGGGGAGAAACCATGTTTCATGCACCATAGTGTTTTAGGCTTGAGGACAAGCCGTGGTGGGCGAGGTAGGGACTTAAAGCACTTGCAGCCATTCGATCGCGGTCGATCTTCCAAAGCTGTGGCCAGCTTTCTTGGACGTGGTATCTTGGGCTTTGTAAGCCTTGCTTGTTAGGCAGCTTGTTCGAAGGACTCTCACTTCTTGTGGCGATCACCAGGTGAAAAGCCGCTGACTTTGGGAGAGTGGGATTTGGTGCTGCCAGTGTGATACCACTCACACTGGTAGCGGAGCTACCTCCGTTTTGTTGCTCCAGGGGATACATCATCTTTGGAGGTCACCATGGCGCAGACAAATGGTGACCCATCAGAGGGGACTGCAACCATCTCAAACCAGATGGCCCAACTTGTGCCGAGCTTTGATCCGTCGAAAGACGACCTGGAACAGTACACGCAGAAGGTAGAATTGCTGAGTGAAATCTGGCCCGAGAACAAGGTCAACGAGTTGATCACCAGGTTAATTCTCAATACAACAGGTTCTGCTTTCCAGAAGCTTCAACTGAATCGTGCTAAGTTAATCACAGGTGACAAGGCAGGAATTCAATTGCTGATATCATTGCTTGGTGGACAATGGGGCAAAGTAAGTCTGGAGAAAACATATGAGATTGTGGAAAAGGCGTTGTTCAAGTGCGTCCAACGACAGGACGAATCAAACGATTCCTTTCTGGCTAGGTGTGATGTGGTTTGGTCAGAACTCAAGGCCAAGAAGATAGATCTGGATCAGGTACATGCATACATAGTGCTCCGAGGGTCTCTTTTGACATCGGAAGACAAGAAACGTGTCATCCTGGAAAGTGAATCTTCTACTCAGGGAGCTTTGACGATTGACAAGGTGAGCCAGTCTGTCCGGATGCTTGGAACAGCATTTTTCAATGAGATGATCGGTCAAAAGAAATCCAAAGGGAAGATCTATGATCAACAGACGTTTTTGACTGAAGATATACAAGATGAGGGTCAAGAATCTCATGTGTATGTTGCTGATGAAATCGGGGAAGAAGATTACTATGAACAATTGCTCTTGAACGAGGACGAGGACGCTCTGCTGATCGCAGACTATGAGTCTGCAGCGGCAGACACACTGCAGTCAGACGAAGATCTAGCCAGCGCATACAATGCGTACAGTGAGGCGCGCAAGCGCTTGTCCGATCGCTTCAAAAATCGTGGATTTTGGCCTGTGAGCTCTGGGAAGGGTAAGTCCAAAACTCATGGATTCAAGGGCAAGGGAAAGAGTTACGGCCGTGGACCCCGAAAAGGTTTGCAGCAAAGAATCATGGAAAGCACATGCAGACACTGTGGAAAGAGAGGTCATTGGCGCGCAGAGTGCCCAGAGCGCCAAAATGCCTCAGCTAACAGTGTAACCAGCACGGCAGCCACCATGACAGCCGAAGCAGTTTCCCTCGAGGGTGAGCCCGATGCCTTGCCAATGGAGTTCATGCAGTTGCCCATGGTTCAAGACGTCACCATAGATGATTCTAGTTTGCATTTAATTAATGTCAGTATGGCCATTCCGCATGAGCTTCGGGAACGTCTCAAGTACAAGGGGTCTTGGGATAATGATAGGGGAAAGAGCCTGAAAAGCCATCCTCCCAGGAATGAAGCCTCCTGCCATTTGCCGATGAAAGCCAGTGATCCGCCAAAGATGAGTGAGCCTGCTTTAGCACTTTTTGCATCGCATGGCACATCAGGCATCTTAGACACAGGTGCCACAAAGTCTGTGATTGGTAGCAAGCTGCTACCATCGTTTCTTGAGGGTCTGCCCAAGGAAGTTCGAAGTCAACTGTTCCGAACATCATGTGGCATCACTTTCAGGTTTGGCAATCAGGGAACTCTTGACAGCAGCCAGGCGTTGGTGATCCCCCTCAAATCAATTGGTTTGGGATTAAAGATAGCTGTAGTGCCTGGGGAAACACCATTGTTGTTATCTAACACTTTGTTGAGAACCCTTAAGGCAAGCATCAACAGCGAGTATCAGGTTCTGTCCAGCCCAATGTTCAAACATGATGTTCAGTTGAGATTGAGTGCACGCGGTTTGTATTTGTTGGATGTGAATGAATTGTTGAAAGCACAGAAAGGGCCCAGTGACAGGTCAAACCTGACCATTGCCGAGACATTCACCAGCCATGATTTTTCCGAGTGCAAAATTGCTGAACGCCATCAACCTTTCCAAGCACCAGTCAAATCCTTTGAAAGCCACAGTAATCATCCCACATGTCATGACACAAGACCAAATTTCCAATCACATGAGGACGTTTCACTTCACACTTGCAATCTCACACAGAAGTTTTGCCAAGCACCAGGCCAATCAAATCAACAGGATGAGATTTTCCAGAGCCACCGTGAGTCCAGACGTTCACAGACCAATGAATGCACAGAGACCTCCTGGCCCAAAAGTCCGCATCCGACCTTTTTAGAGCTCGTGAAGTCAACCAATCCACAAAGCTGCAATGAGCCTGAGCAGCCGATTCGACCGAGTCATGACCAAGGCAGTCGACGACAGCGTGGACCAGTTTCAGCAGCTGACAGTTCAGGAAATGGGAGATGCCAAGGTTACGTTTGGCAAAGCCCACATGGGGCGAACCTATCTGGAAATGTGGTTGGAGGAGCAAAATTGGATCAAATGGTTCATCAGGACCTACTCAGACAGCCAAAAAGTGGAACATCGAAAGCTCCTGATTTATGTCGAGAAGATGATATCAGCTCACGAACTAGAGCACAAACTGCCTCCGATGGAGTCCATGACACAGGGAGTTGTCATGCCACGCTGCAAAGGGCAACCGAAAGCCAAGGCATCCACAGCCGTGGACCCTTTCATGTTCATGGAAGCCAGCTCCAACATCGGGACCGAGCAGTGGGATGTGATGGACCCAGAAGAGATGTTGGCCCACAATGCCAGGGGACTCGACGAAGATCCACACCTGGAGAGCATCGAAGCCCTGCAGGCCAGGATGTTGCATGTGGAGAAGTGCGCTGATGGAGATCTTGCAGCACGTTCGCCCGGCCAACAACTGAGAGATAGCACTGATCATGCATGCTTTGCTGGAGACATTGACAATGACTTTGAAGATCCAATTTTCAACACCACTGTCAACAATAATCGCCATCAAATTTTTCATCAACTTGTAGCCCAATTTTCACAGGAATTTCAAGAAGTCTCCAAACGCGTAGGCAGCCGATCAGCAAAGCCAATTCAGATGCTCGAGGTCTTCTGTAGCTCAGCAAGTGAACTGACCAAACAAACAAATAAATTGGGATATCGAGCGTGCAGGTATGGTTTTGAGCAAGGCGACCTTTCCACCAAAGAAGGCAGAGAAGGTTTGTTTGAAATTGTCATTCAACAGAAGCCCAACCACATATGGTATAGCCCGACCTGCGGGCCTTGGAGTTCATGGAGTCAGTTCAATGAGATGAGGAGCACCGAAGGCTTTGTCGAAGTGCAGCGGAAGAGAGAAGAAAACCTTTTCCAGTTGGCCCTAGGACTAGTCCTTTTCCGTGTCCAGCGGAATGCCGGTCGACATATGCACTGGGAACAACCGGCCAGGTCCATCATGATGCGAACCCCAATGTTGTGGGAGATCATACAAAACACTCAGGTTGCCCGATTCGACATGTGCAGAGTAGGTGCCATCCGAGACCCCATGAACCAATTACTATATAAGAAGGGCATGGAAATTCACACCACCTCACAAGAATTCTATTATCATTTCAACGGACTCACTTGCAATAAACAACATCAACATCAGCCACTTGAAGGGGAAACTGTGGTAAAGGGGATGAGAATCAAAAGGACCGAGTTTTCCGAAAACTACAGTCGAAGATTTGCCAGGAAAGTTGCACAGGTTTTGACAAGGGTCAAATGTCAACGTAGCAAACCTATGGGATTGTCCGAAGCTTTTGCATCAGACGCCAAAAGAAATACCAGTGCATCCCTGGCACCTGCATCCAGGCGAGCGAAGCTGACACCCGTCAGTCCACTGATTGAGCCCAGTGAAATGCCGGCAAAGAAGCGTCGCCTCCATGAGAAGACCACTGACAATGTAGGAACCCTTTGCATCCAACTCTGTGAGAAAATATCCAGCTTAGCTCCTAGGGTAGGCAGGAAAGAGATCAATGATCCCTCCATTCTTGCAGGACTTCAAGAAGTGTTTCATGACAAACAAATAGTTCGGGTTGTGATTTGCAAAGGGACGGAGAGAACCATCACTCCCCCAAAGAATATGATGCCAGCAGAAGCTCCTTTTCGCAGAGCCATCATCATCCAAAGACAAACCAAAGCCATCAAAGTAGAAGGTCAATGGGAGGAATGGCGCCATTTGTCAGCCCGACAGCTGTGGCGACGGTCACATCCCTCCTTTTTGAATATAACAGTGTTCGCTCGAAATCCAACCGAGATTTCATCACCTGCCAGTGAAAGCCAGAGACCAATCAGCCATGAGGCCACTGAACCAAGTGTTGCAGCCCAATCCTCGGTACCGGATGTGCCAACCAATGGGCTCTCGAGCACACCAGCCTTTGAGAGTCAGCTGCAACCACCGAGTGTCGCAACACCCGAAAGCACCAAGGTTCCAAGTCAAATAGACTTCGAAAGCAAGGACCATGGTTCCAAGTTCATGACAATGTCACCGGAGAACAAGAAACTTGCTATTCGACTTCACAAAAACTTAGGTCACCCAGATCCCACCAAGTTGAGTAAGGTACTCCAGCAAAGGGGTTACTCTGATGAATTGGTGCGAGGAGTGTTAGACCTCAAATGTTCCGTATGCCAAATGCAACAGCAACCAAGACTCCAACGTCCTGCGACACTGAAGGAGGAACTGAATTTCGGTGATAAGATATCAATGGATGGGGTAAAATGGAGTAACAAACAGGGCCAAGATTTCCATTTTTACCATTTCATTTGTCACGGTACCAACTACCACACTGCAGTGGTGGCCCCGAATCGAGCAGAAGTTCAGGAAAGATTCACCTCTGGATGGCTCAACTGGACTGGTCCTCCCAACACAGTTATCATGGATTCAGCATCAGAATTTGTGTCGCAAGCATTTGAAGAGTTTCTTCAAAGCATGAATGTACAATGTACAGTGGTCCCTCCAGATGCTCACTGGCAGATGGGTCGCATTGAGCGACACGGCGGTGTACTCCAATCAATGTTAAGCAAATATGAATTGGAACGTGATGTGACTGATTATTTCCAATTCCAACAAGCCCTAACCCATTGTACCATGGCAAAGAATGCCTGCAGTCTAAGACATGGATACTCACCCGAGACTCTTGTTTTCGGTCGTTGGCTACGGGTTCCAGGTTCCATTGTTGGAGATGACACCTTGCCAGCTCATGCCATCGCTACCAATGATGACAGCCAGGGCATTCGCTTTAGGAAAGTGCTCGCAATGCGAGAGACAGCACGAAGAGCCTTTCATGCAGCCGACAACGATATGGCAATTCGTCGTGCAGCACTGAGAAGAGATCGTCCACATAGAGGGGCCTATGAACCTGGGGAATGGGTAATGGTCTGGAAATTCCACATAGGTAAGGGTTCCTGGATTGGTCCTGCAAAGGTAATAATCCAAGACGGTCCAACATCAGTGTTTTGCAACAATGCAGGGTCTGTACTGCGGGCTGCTCCAGAACATGTACGTCCAGTCAGCGCGGTAGAAGCCAGACTAATTCCCATGACAGAAAATCCCATATCCCTGTTGAGAACCTCACAAGTCCCACCACATGCGCAGATTTCCAATAATCCTTCAGATCAAATTCCCACCGAAAGCCCAACCAATGAGATTGCCAGACTTCCAACAACCACTGAAGTGTTTGTGCCATCCGAAAACGCCAGACCAACTAGCTCAAGAGCATCCGAACAGCCTGACCAAGAGCCTGATGAAAATTCCCAAGGTAACCTCACCATTAAAAATGATAATTCTTCACCCGACAATAGTCCACATAACTTACATTTAAATAATCCCGAAGCCGAAAGTCAACCCACCTTAGAACCTCATGAGATACCACTGCCTGATGCCACCGATGATGAACTTTTGTGTGATCTCCTGACTTGCACTGACGATGACAAGTCAGATCTCTTCGCACCAGATGGCAAAGACCATGTCTGGAAAGCCGAGCTTGAACTCACCAAAGCTCAATTGGATGAGATGTGTTTTTCCCAGGAAAATCCATGTGAAGAAGATTTCATCATGTTAGCAACAGCATCCAAGAAACAACGGACTGAGGTCAAGTTAAGCACTCTAGATCCTCATGAGCGCCAGGAATTCGAGGCTGCAAAGGCCAAGGAGGTGAACAACTGGCTTCAGACCGGGACTCTGGAAAGAATGTTCCGAAATGCCTTGTCACCTGAACAAATCCTGAGATGCAGATGGCTGTATGTTTGGAAGCCCATAGAGTGTCCTAAAGAACAAAAAGAAAATGGGGGGCGTAGTCGCAAAGCAAAAGCCCGCCTGGTGGTTCTAGGATATATGGATCCCCAACTGGAAACAATTCCTAGAGACAGTCCTACACTGGGGAGAACTTCAAAAATGCTGATAGCCCAAGTGATTGCCTCCATGAGATGGACACTCATGTCTTTCGACATCAAAGCAGCGTTCCTCCAGGGCCGCACTCAGGAAGGAAGGGAAATTGCCATTGAACCTGTCCCAGAAATGGTGAAAGCCATGGATTTGAAATCCACGGAGGTTTGTAAACTCATTAAATCAGCGTATGGTTTAATTGATGCTCCATTTCTATGGTTCACAGAACTTGACACCACCCTGCGTAGCTTGAACTTCATACCATCCCCATTTGACCCATGCCTCTATTTGCTGTTCAAACCAGGAGCAAAAGAGCCATCGGGGATCCTTGGGGTCCATGTAGATGATGGTCTATGCGGAGGAGATAGTTATTTCCAGTCTCAGGTGAAAGCACTCGAGACAACATTTCCTTTCGGATCCCGGAAATCTCAGAGCTTTGTGTTCACAGGGATTGAAATGAGTCAACAAAGTGATTCCAGCATCGTCATGTCACAGGAAAAATATGTTTCCAAAATTGAACCCATCCACATCAAACCAGAAAGAAAATCCCAACTTGAACTTCCAGTCACCGAACGAGAGAGACAAGATCTCCGTGCACTCATAGGATCACTTCAATATGCAGCCGTGAACACGAGACCTGACTTATCGAGCAGGTTAAGTTTCATTCAGAGTGACATCAATCAAGCGACCATTGCAACACTCATTCAAGGAAATCAGATACTTCACGAAGCAAAAAGACACAAAGACACCACCATCCGCATACAACCAATGCCCATGGATAAAATCAGGTTTTTGGCATTTTCCGATGCATCGTTTGCTTCCAAGAAACAGCCAGAATCTCACACAGGAACTATCATCATGACAACCCACGAAGATATCGGAAAGAATCATGTGTGCCCCGTGAATCCCATAAGCTGGGGATGCAAGAAAATTCAGCGAGTAGTGACAAGCACTTTGGCAGCTGAGACCACTTCCCTCAGTACCACTCTAGATCAACTTTCATGGTTAAGATTGTTTTGGAGCTGGATACGAAACCCCTGCACTGATTGGAAGAATCCATCAAAAACTCTCAAGGAATTACCATCAACCTTCACAACGGCCACTCTCAAAGAAGATCCCGCGATTGCAGTAACCGATTGTAATTCATTGTTTGATTTAATCACCCGAACTGCTCCACCACAGTGCCAGGAGTTTAGTTCCCAGTTACAAGCGAGAGCCATCAAAGACATGATAGCTGAAGGGGTAAAGGTAAGATGGGTCCATAGTGCCGCACAGCTTGCAGATGCATTGACCAAAATCATGCAGACTCACTTCCTCCGACATACCTTGAAAGTAGGTCAATACAGCCTGCACGATGAAGGGCAAGTCTTGAAGGAACGTGCCACAAGCCGATCCCGCATGAGATGGTTGCAAACCTGCAATGATGAGAAACTTGAAAATAGTGAAGAAAAACATCTTTTGGGAGTGTGAATTTCCCAACGAACCCAGTCGTTGTGTCATTACTCCCATGTGATGTGTTCTCATCAAAACCTCGTTGAATAAATTCCAACCTGGAATACATGTCCAAGCCAGCTGAAAGGGGAGAAACCATGTTTCATGCACCATAGTGTTTTAGGCTTGAGGACAAGCCGTGGTGGGCGAGGTAGGGACTTAAAGCACTTGCAGCCATTCGATCGCGGTCGATCTTCCAAAGCTGTGGCCAGCTTTCTTGGACGTGGTATCTTGGGCTTTGTAAGCCTTGCTTGTTAGGCAGCTTGTTCGAAGGACTCTCACTTCTTGTGGCGATCACCAGGTGAAAAGCCGCTGACTTTGGGAGAGTGGGATTTGGTGCTGCCAGTGTGATACCACTCACAATATACATATATATATATACATACAAATATGTACATATACACATATATACTACATATATACATATACACATATATATATACATATATATATATACACATATATATATACGCATATATATATATCTATATCTTCATATCTATATCTTTATATCTATATACTATGTATCTATGTACATATACCTATGTATATCTACGTATATCTATGTATATCTATGTATATCTACGTATATCTATGTATATGTACGTATATGTATGTCTATCTATGTCTATCTATGCCTATCTATGTCTATCTATGTCTATCTATCTATGTCTTCTATGTCTATCTATCTATGTCTTCTATGTCTATCTATCTATGTCTTCTATGTCTATCTATCTATGTCTTCTATGTCTATCTATGTCTATCTATGTCTATCTATCTATCTATCTATCCATCTATCTATCTATCTATGTCTATCTATCTATGTCTATCTATCTATGTCTATCTATCTATCGATGTCTATCTATCTATGTCTATCTATCTATCTATCTAGCTATCTTTCCTATCCTATCCTATCCTATCTTATCCTATCCTATCCTATCCTATTCTATCTAGCTATCTTATCCTTTCCTATCTATCTATCTATCTATCTATCTATCTATCTATCTATCTATCGCTGATTCCAAGGCTTGCGTCGGCGAGTTCTCCGAGAATCGTGAGGAGCGTCTGGAGCAGATCATCGTGGTGGCGGGGCGATGCAGTGACTACGAGCTGCTCACGGTGAATGCGGTGGTGGAGGGTCAGTCAGAGACCTGGAAAAAGGGGATGGAAAAATGGGGGAGATCTCGAGAAAGGTTTGGTTTAACCATGGTTAAACATGGTGAATATGGGATTCAACCAAGAAAAACGGTGATTGTACTAGGAAATTGGGGGAATTAACCATCAAACATTGGAGTCATTGGAGGTTTCACAATCAAGAATAGGGTTTAACCGTCGACAGTGGAGGTCCAAGCATCAAAAATGGGGGCTTAGCCATCAAAGACGGTAGGTTTTATACCATTTTTTGACACACTTCAACCGTCCCGAAATGGGAATCTGTTGCTAAGGGGTTCCCTTGAAGGAATAGACTTGCCAGTAGCCGTGGTTCTTAGCGTGGTATTTTCAGGTTCTATGGGGGAAGGCATTGACACAGCAAGCCCGAAGGATAATTCGGTCGGATCCGAAGGATTAGAACGCCAGCAGTTTGGGGGTTACCGCATGCCACGTGATTTCAACCATACCCCCTTAGCGGTCGCGATGAGGTTCCAGGGAGTGACTTAAAGTTTCTCTACAAAGGGGGCCCCTGCTTTGTGGCAGAATGGGGTGGAAGAACACTGCGCATCTCAGAGGTAGGAAGGAAGCCAGCAGTTTGGATGGTTACCCGTAATCAAACATGGCTTGCTGGACAATTCCGTTAAAACCTCCATTGAGTTCGGGCATTTCCCAGCCATGTGATGGATTTTCCACTAATATCCAGATTTTGCCCATCAGGACATGTTGGCATGCTTCCTGGCCCAGCTGATGTTGGTTCGACCCAACCTGGCTGCGCAGCCGGACTCGTTGTTGTCCATGCACCTACAAAGCTTGGAAGAGGTTTGTAGTGACACCTGGTCTGGGTCGATGTACTGCGAGAAACCCAATGCCATAAACCTATGATTTGGCGATGGTTTATAGCAGCAATAAAAATGGTGATGGAATTGGGATGGTTTATGGCATTGGGTTTACCACATGCATCCCCAAAAAGATAGAAAAGGTTAAACTTATCACTATTTTAGGATTGGATGTTCCTTTTTTATCTTCTTGGGGCGTACTTTTTACCTACAATCTTGGGGATTTTTTACTGGTAGGTTTATGTTTTTTGGTTCCTCAAAAACGCTCAAAGCCCCAAGGAAGGCTTGATGAATTTGACCTATCCAAATCCTTCGACGACCATGAAAATCTGCTTGCAGCTGGAGGAATGCTGGACGAAATTCAAGCTGGCAGCACAAGCAGTGCAGGATTCCACCAAGTGCATTGCTGGGATCAAGGAGCTGGGTCTGTTTCTGAAAATAATTTCCCAATAGGAAACCCACCGTTTAAGCGAATCAGAGAATATTGGGGAATCTATAGAGAATCTATATTTTCCCAAATTTTGGAGAATACGTTTTTTTCGGTTTTTGGACCATTGGACCCCCAGCAAAATCCCCAAAAAATCCAGGAGCGTGTGCACGCCTTTCTGGGTGAGACGCTGTCGCATCGAGCCAGGGGACAGCCAAAAACCATGCTGGACGCTAAGGAGTCGAGGGAATTCCTATTCTACACCTCCTTGAATCCTGAGAGGCTTACAGCCATGAATAAAGAATCTGGGCTGCAAAATTTATAGATATTCACGTCGCTTCGCGACGGCAACCGCCCGCACCGCATCGTTCGTAACTGCCAATGATGTCGGCCATTGAGACCAAAAACATCCGAAAGTACTGATTGTCGGAAAAAAAACGCGAAGAATTTGATAGCCATGTATAGCGGACCAACGCAGTTCAAAAAATAACGAAAAACATGAAAAAACGGCGAAATTGCTGTTATTTACAGTGTTTTTGCGCGGTGAGAAGCAGAAACCACTGCAAATACCATGGTTTTTGAGGGTCAGGTGGCCAAAAACACTGTAATTTACAGTGTTTTTTTAACCAACGTCAAAAAACACTGGTATTTACGATGTTTTCATTCACACCGTAACATAAAACAGCGTAATTTACGAGGTTTTTGGAAGTTTTGAAGCTAGCCGTCAAGCATGCAGAAAACAGAAAAACACTGTAAAAACCAGTGTTTCTGCTATCACAAAACGACGAAAATCAGTCCGAAAACGGGTCCAAAAACTCAAAAATCCGCCTCCGGGCCAGGCCACCTGCGGAACCGCAAAAAAAGATGTTGCAAACCAAAAAATTGAGGTCAAAAAGTTGAAAAACACGGGTTTTTTTCACTTTTCGCTTGCCGATTTTGGACGGGCGCGTTCACGAACAGGTGTCTTCCGTACTGTTTTTTACAGTGTTTTTTGAAGGCGAGCGTCACGACCTATCAAAAACAGGAGGTTTTGGCCGAAAAATGCCCCCCCCCAGGTAAACCTGTAACCTTTTACGAGTGCCATCCGGAAGATCACGCCCCAGCACCTTCGGTGCGGGCGGATTTATAGATGAATATTGGGTATTCCCCAAGTTTTATGATAAAAAAAACAAGGTTTTCTGACATAACCCAAGAATCAAAGGCTGGACAATGAGCCTGATGTTTTTTGGGTTTCAATCCGGCGACTGGGATTATCCCCAGTCACGAAATCATATTTTCAGTGGGCTCAACGACTCAACGACCAGCTAGGAATTGATTCTGGATAAACTGATGGTGGACAAGGTGGAAGACATCTTGCGGCGTCACTTCCGACTGTTGAGGGAGATCTTTAAGCACTACAGCAGCTCCAAATCTGGTGGCACCAATGGTGTGGATCTCAAGGGCTTGCTAAAGCTTTTCCAGGAGTGTAAGCTCCGCTCCAAGGAATTTGCTCCGTTTCATTTGGAGACATGGCGATTCCCAGCCATTCCCGTGGATTTTTAGTTCTTTTTTGGGATGTATAATGGTCATCTATACATAAGCACTAGAAGTTCAAGCTTCAGGGGGTGAAGCCGGTGGAGCAGTGGAGCCCCAGGAAACCATCTTCAACAACCATCTGGAGGATAAGTCCAGGGGAGATGACCGATCCTTGGCTCCCCATGAGTTCATCGAGGTCCTGATCTTGTGCGCCTTCACCAAGTTCCGTCAAGCTGCCAGCTCCTTGAGTGAGCAGATGCTGCTGCTGATTGATCTGCACCTGAAGCCGAATGCCTGCAACGATGCGGAAAGTATGTTTCAAAAGATGGCGTACAGCAGCCCCGTGCGACAGGTGGGGTGAAAACATGTGAACCACTGACTAATAGCCGACTGGGATGGCCAATTCCAAAACATGGCTGTCAATTAGCAGATATACTTTACGGACCCCCCAACTGATGCATATTTTAATGTGCTACTTTAATAAACAATAATAAACATCTATCGGGGAAAAAACGGAAAACATGATGAGACGCGATAATCCACCGAAATCAGGGTTGCACTTGTTTCCAACAGAAATTCAGGTGTTGGATCAACATCAAAAGGAGTTGTTCTACATCTTCCAGCTCTATGCCTTTTTGGACATGTCAACCACTGAAGCTATGCAGAAGGAGAATACCATGAACATCACGGAATTTCAGATGCCTGGATTTGCGATTTGCGTCCATTGTCTTTTTTGTTCTTTTTCCACTGGTCCATCCCGAAATCCAGGAATCAACTGGGACTATTTGACAAACAAAATCAGGCCCCCTTGAAGTTATGTTGTATAGTTATGTCGTTATATCCATTACATCCACATCCTAATTAGGGTTTCTAGATGTTTTTTCCCAAAAACATCTCCGATGCTTGGGTTCTCGTTTAGCTTCCTTCGCCGCGAGGGGAGCGAGACAGAAGAGCCGGACGAGCAAGGAAGGAAGGAAGGCAGGAAGGAAAGGGGGAAGGAAGGAAGGAAGGCAGGACGGAAGGAAGAAAGGAAGGAAGGAAGGCATGAGCGCGGACGGGGTGGAAAGCGTGGGAATAGCTTGGGAATAGCTTGGGGGGATCTCCGCCGGAGGGAGCGAGACGGAAGCGCCGGACGAGCGTGGTTGGACTGTGAAGTGGAAATAGCTTGGGCGGATCTCCGCCGGAGGGAGCGAGACGGAAGCGCCGGACGAGCGTGGTTGGACTGTGAAGCGTGGAAATAGCTTGGGGGGATCTCCGCCGGAGGGAGCGAGACGGAAGCGGCGGACGAGCGTGGTTGGACTGTGAAGCGTGGAAATAGCTTGGGGGGATCTCCGCCGGAGGGAGCGAGACGGAAGCGCCGGACGAGCGTGGTTGGACTGTGAAGCGTGGAAATAGCTTGGGGGGATCTCCGCCGGAGGGAGCGAGACGGAAGCGGCGGACGAGCGTGGTTGGACTGTGAAGCGTGGAAATAGCTTGGGGGGAGCTCCGCTGGAGGGAGCGAGACTCGCGCCGGACGAGCGTGATGGACTGTGAAGCGTGGAAATGGTTTGGGGGGCCCACCTTGTTTCTATTTATCCCCATTAATCCGCATTTCTCAACGATTATCCTACCACCTCCCATTAGATCCAGGATGTTGCTGGAAGATTGTGGTTTTTTGGACCTGACACTGACGGAAGTGGCTGTCCAGCAGATTTTCCAGGGGATCCAGCAGAATGCCACGGCTGACGACGGAGCAGAGGAAGCAGTGGACGTGACCTGGAAGCAGCTGGGTTTGTTTCACCTCGGGGTTTTGGGTCTCTAGATTTTCCAGTGGAAAAGATGCTTTGGCGTGTCTGAAAATAGATACGATACGAATGGGATACTCAGCAAATGGCTATTTAATAAATATATATATATATATATTTGGAACATGATGATAAATCATTGGGATTTTTGAGGTATTGTGGGAAAAACAATAATAAACCATTCCCCAGTCATCGCCATTTTACGGTGCTAGTTTTACAATTCCCCTATTTGTAGGTGGTTGATGACATTGTTTTACCCACAACAGATGATCATCCCAAACAATATACAGCCAATGGTTATTAATGGTTATAAATGATTTTTATCGGTTAGTAATGGCTATTAACTATGTACAAACAAAATGTCTTCAGATGTTTGGTCAACTGATCCAAGGTTGAAGGTGTGGATGATGACGAAGAGATGTCCTTCTCGGAGTTCTTGGATGCCTGGAAATTATTTTCGAAAACCCAGATTTTTTCCTGGTTCAAAATGGGATAAATTTCTGACAATGCAGCCAATTCTTAAGATAAATCAATACAATCATGCATGAAGATAAATGCAAATAAATCCTGGATTGAAGTTCAACTTGGGAGAACAACAAACTCTGATAGTTGAGCCAAAATCATGGCCTTCATCAGTGGCTCCAAGGATGGTTTGGTGGCCGTCGCCGCCTACAAATTCCCGGATCCTTTTACTCCGCTGAGCAGTCGCATCAACACCTTTCTGCTGCAACTCTTTGCATCGATCCGAAAACATTGGAGCCGAAAGCGTGGTGCGCCACGGGTGGATATGATGCTCAATGCCCTGCAGAAGAAGATGAGATAACCAGTGATTGTTGTTGTTTTTCTCGGGACCTTAACATGGGGGAGTTAAACTCCAAGTTCTGGTCATATGTTCTTGGAGATTGAGAGATGATGAAATGATGTACAAAAAACACGTGTACAAAATGCCATCGAAATTCTGTGTACAAAAGAACTCCACTGCATTGCATCCCGTCTCAGAAAAGGGAGATGGGCCTTGGCAGAAGATCTGCTGCTGTGACTGCAATGCTTGGCGTGCAAATTTCTGTTGTCACGTTTGATGCAGAAAGGGCGCTCACGATGCCTTTCCCACGCATCCTGAAGCAGATAGCCTCTGGTTATTTAAGGTAACGAACTGGAAAATCACCATGTATGAATAGGCAAATCATCAGAAATCATCTATAATTGGGCCATGTCCGACAGCAAACTAAATAACCAGAGGGTACATAATGCTGTCAGAGGTGTCAGCTGCCGCAGTTCTGCTGTGAGGGAGGGCAATAACTATGCGGCACCATGGTCGCGGATCCCCAAGTAGGTTATTCTCGGTATCCCATTAAAGTGAAAGGTACAATACGGTGTCATCAAGCATTGCTTGCTGGAACATCTCCCATTTAGTTCAATGAAATTCCCAGTGAACGAAACCTCCATTTATAGATTTTATAGTGGATGTTTCCATATTTTCCAATGATTTTCCCGTGATTTTCTCATCAAAAACGTCCTTTTAGAGGGATTTTCCAGCCAGCCACGTTTACCGGAAACCATGCTCTCCGCACTCTCCGCGATATCGAAGCTCGAGCTGGCTTCGGGGTGCCATGGCGCACAAATCCAATCCGTACAAAAAGGTGAAGGGCAAAGACTTGTGGCGATGCATTCCACCATCCCATGTCATATATATATATATATATATATGTATGTATGTATGTATTTATGTATGTATGTATATATATATATATCTATGTATGTATGTATGTATGTATGTATGTAATGTATGTATGTATGTATGTATGTATGTATGTATGGTATGGTATGTAATGTAGTGTAGTGTAGTGTAGTGTAGTGTAATGTAATGTAATGTAATGTAATGTAATGTAATGTATGTATGTATGTATGTATGTATGTATGTAATGTATGTAATGTATGTAATGTATGTAATGTATGTAATGTATGTAATGTATGTAATGTATGTAATGTATGTAATGTATGTAATGTAGGTAATGTAGGTAATGTATGTAATGTATGTATGTATGTATGTATGTACGTATGTATCTATGTATGTATGTATGTATATATATATATACACCAGGGTGTTTAAGTCATATAAAACGGTGTTTAACCCTTACATTTTTTTTTCAAAAGATGGTTCGATATGGTTTAGGATGTTTTTTCTTCAACCCCTCTTTCGAAGAGTGACCCCGAGTGGATGGGTCCAATGCATTGCATCAGGATTTTGATGGGGCCCGAGTTGATATTCGGTGGGTTATGTACGTCAAATTACTGCATATATCCCGGTAGATCCACATCTGGACCCTGGTGAACCTCCCATAGTCAAAGTTGGAAAAACTTGGAAAATCCTGCCGGGAAGCGTAAGTGGTGAATATCGCTGGTGAAAACGTCTGCGATTGAATCGGGCCGATTCCATTCGGTCTCTGCTCTGTGTTCGGCATGTTCTGGCACAGCCATGCCCCTTATCAGTTTGGGTTGAGAGCTCAATTTCAGTCAGGATCGTCGGGTAACCTTTGGGTGTTTCCCAAAATTAGGAGACATCTCACGACAGCGATGGGATGATTTTTGGGTCCCAGCCATTGACAGCTTCGCTGCAGGCGCGCTCCAAGTTTCGGTGGAAGTGGAAGAAGAAGCGCACGCGCCGGTTGCAAAAGAAGCGCCGCAAGATGCGTCAACGCTCCAAGTGAGGTGCGTCAACCACGATGTTTTTTTTTCAGCGGATGGAGTTCATCATCTCCAAAGATGCACTGTATGTAGATAATGTTCACTCTGGGATCTTGGGGGGTATGGGGTATCATTTTCAGCCATTCCGATCTGTTTTGTTGGAGTCAACTTCAGAATAATCATCCGACAGATGGCCTTTTGGAGTAACGCGGCAAGGAAAATCACGAATCTCAATCAGAAAGTTATCTCCATTTGTGGGGATTTGCCAGTGATGCTGGCATGCCCAACGCCAAAAACGTTGATAAACAGGTGGGTGAAATAGGAACAACAATAGTGGGAATCCAAGCCAACAGAAGTGCCACTAGTATAATATTTCTGGATAAATGGCACTTCACTCACCTGAAGAGTTTGTCAAATTTGGGAAAATCCCCTGTCGTCAGTAACCATCATTCCAGTGACGTTTTTGGTACGGGAATTGGAACCATTTTGAGAGCCAGAAAGCTGGGTGCACTGCTACGCCACTTTGGGCCATACCCAGGTGACACGGATCAATGTGTGATGGCTCTGCAGACTGATGGCCCCAAAGTTGTCGCATAGAACGGAGACGTTGCTGTCAACCAGACTCCAGCGCTGTGTTTGAAAACTGCCTGGCGCTGCGGAGATTGTGGATGCGGCATGTTTTTTGTCATTTTGATTCTATGGAAATCCCAGAGTGATAGTAATGTCACCCTCCGGACTTTCAAGTATTCCACTGATTTCAATCACTGACATCAGGGAATACCACTCAGGGAAAATCCTTGATGACCACTGATCTTCAGGACATTCCACCTGCGGGGACGCCGGTACCAAGTTCTCCCGCGGGTGCCTCAGTGGATGTTTCCGTGGCTGGACCGCCGCCAGGGCCGGGTACTGCTGAGGCAAGGCCCGTTGAAGAATCTGACGGAGCAAGACCCTCCTGCGGCGGGGGGGCTCAAAGACAAAGGACTGGCTCTGAAAAGGTCCTTTTAATGGCCTTATATGGCCTTAGAGATATGACAGATGATGATAACCCCCGGATTTCGGCCGATTTTCAGACCCGCCTGAGCTATCATCAATGATAGCTATGGTGGCTCGATGATTCACAGGTGAGACGCGAAGTGATGCGATCGGTCAGGAGCTCGATTTCCAGGAGTCGTAGGGATCCGTTGCTGCTGGGGCAGCATTTCCAGCTGCAGGTGCGCACTCCGGCGTCTATTCGACTGCGACCTGACCCAGTGGATTGCGGCCAAGAGCTCAGTAAAAAGTCCAGCCAAGAAGCAGGCGTGGTCAGATGGTGCAGGGATGAACACCCATTCGCCAGCTATTTTGGTGAAAGAACCAGAGTTTTGATCCAGCCCAAAATGATCGAAGATGGCGCAGGGTCGAGTTTTTGACTGAAATTTTTGTGCTTTGTGAGGTGAAGATGGCATTGTGGCAGTGAACCTGTGAGGACCTTACGACTTTCCAGAAAGAATCAGAAAGTCAGAGTCGGTAGTTGCCTCAAATTTGGACCCACTGAGGGCGCGCCCCTTCGATCTGGCGAGTTCCGGACGAACAGTGTATTGCTCTCAGCCTTCGTTGGATGTTCCACAATTTGCAAGTGCTTCACAAGAAGCATGATTTCAACCCAAGTAGCAAGTATATCAATAAGATATCCACAACTTTAATACAGCTTACAGCTTACTATCAGATGAATCCCCATCCTAATATTAAACATCCTTCAGAAACCATGGTTTAGTAGGGGATTTTCACATCTTTGGGACCTTTTTTAATTTCTTTAAGGGGGTGTTTCATATGAACCGCAGGTTGAGGGCGCGGCAAAGAGCGGAATTCCACAATGCAGAATCCAGGTGCAGAGTGGCTGAGACGCCCCTGGCAGGGTTGATGATGAGTTCGGGAGATACTAAGCTACCCTTTGTATACCGTAACTACCTGATATGTATATACGTACACATATATATATATATATATAATATAACTATAACATTATATATATATGATATAATATATAATTATATATATATGATATACAATATATAATTATATATATAATTACGCGCAACGCCTGGGCGTTGCAGCGTAGAGGTTTCCCATTCCCAAACAAATGTTGATGCAACTTCACAAAATTCCTATGGGAAAAACAACAAAGGTACTAGGGAATATTAAACTCCCACCCCCGTTAAACTTTACATTCAATTGGGAAGATCAACAAAGGTACTAGGGAATATTAAACTCCCACTCCCGTTAAACTTTACATTCAAGTGCGAAGATCAACAAAGGTACTAGGGAATATTAAACTCCCACCCCGTTAGACTTTACATTCAACTGGGAAGATCAACAAAGGTACTAGGGAATATTAGTTAAACTTTACATTCAACTGGGAAGATCAACAAAGGTACTAGGGAATATTAAAGTTCCACCACCGTTAAACTTTACATTCATTGAAGATCTTCAAAAAGGGTTTAATTCTCCCACCCCCGCTAAACTTCTACATTCATTGAAGATCTTCAATAAGGTTTTAATTCTTCCATCCCCGTTAAACTTCTACATTCATTGAAGATCTTCAATGAGGGTTTAATTCTCCCACCCCCGTTAAACTTCTACATTCATTGAAGATCTTCAATAAGGTTTTAATTCTTCCACCCCCGTTAAACTTCTACATTCATTGAAGATCTTCAATAAGGGTTTAATTCTCCCACCCCCTTTAAACTTCTACATTCATTGAAGATCTTCAATAAGGGTTTAATTCTCCCACCCCCGTTAAACTCTACATCCACTGAAGATCTTCAATAAGGGTTTGATGATGATGATGATGATGATGATGATGCGTCGTCTGTCGTCATTGCGGGTCCCGGCAAAGCCCAGGCATTTGCAGTATAACTAAATATAAATATACCAATATATAGATATTATAACATATGATAATATATATACATATGTATGTATATGATAATATATATATATATATTTGTATATGATAATATATATATATATCTATGTATATGTGATAATATATATATATATATGTATGTATTATATATATATATGTATTATATATATATATATGTATCATACATATATATATAATATGTATATATATTTACAAACATATGTATAATATAGAATAGGGTATTATTATCAATTATCAAGGGAGTCCCGTTCTTAACTATCCATGATGGAGAGATGGTATCTTGGGGATTATCATCATCCCGCACGGGAATCCGATCAACAAAGCAGTCTAATGATTGCAGCAGACCACGTTTGCAGATTTGGGTCTGTTCAAGTATATGCCAGCGGACCGAAAACCGTGCTCGTAAAACTAACGTTTTTGAGAACGTGCTAGCACGTTACTACATAACTTCTTGTTTTGCACGAACCATT